AATGAATGTAATTTTTAGATCAGGTGTGGTTAGAATGTATAGTATATTGTTGATATTTTGCGTGAAAAACTATTGTATGAAATAAAACTGTTTATCTCACAATTCAATCCAGCTCGATTCTGCTAGTGTCAATTGCTTTTTATCTTGTTTTCGGCGTCTTATGTAAAGTCATGAATTGGACAAATCGTCGTCCGTTCAAATCGCTAACTCATGGTGTAAGTTATGAAAATGGAAAATTATAATTCTTATTAACAGCTGTTTCGTTCTAACTTAGACATTTGCAAAAGTAACTGATCAGCCGATGGCTATGGCTGATCGGCATGAACGATGTATCATACCTCGAAATGATAAACCAATTGATGCTCTGAGACTACAGTTAGCTGATATTAATTCGGATTTAAATATGAGTATATGTCCACTTTAATCGATCATTTCAAACAATTCTATTTATTTTCTTTTGTTATTTAAGGTCGACGGCATTATCAACCACAACAAATTACCACATTTTCGGATCATAATCGTTCATTACGTCGATCATATTCATCGGTTCAATCAATATCAACATTAGAAACGGATTTTTTACATCAGTAATTTTGATCTTCCCATTTCTCGCTAGTGTTTTAAAATAAGAATCATATCTCTTAGTCAATATAAACTTGTTTTGGCTATTTTCTACTGTTTTCATTTTAGAGTGTCGACAATTCGAACATATCCATCAAGTATTTCACATCATATTACTGAACAAAATGCTATAAATCCCGAAGGTACAATTGAAAATGATTATCGTGTAAGTTATATCTCTTTGTTTAATAAAGAACAACGGCAACGTACCTTGCGTATATTTCAACTTTATAGAGTTTCTTTTGGAAAAACTCAATCTTCTCGCACGGTCTTCTATAGCACTTTGATCTTTGAACTATTCGAACTTTATTGATTACATTCGATAAATTCCTATGCTCGCACTACTTGAACAAACTATAGCATTTTCCTTTTTGTTTTGTTTAGTTAGTATCTAATGCAGGCAATAATAATATTGAGATAGAACATCGGGTTTATTCATCAACCGAGTCGATTCATTATCCTTCGAATGCAGTAATTGCTCAAAATTATTGTCCAGTTCATCATCGACCAACAACAACGAAGCCAAATTTTAATTTCAGTGAACAATTGTCATTATCACACAGAAATATTCAAGAAAAAGAATCCCATGTTCCACTGTCTTTACAGCGTGATTTATCAGGCAAAGCTACTATTTCTGAGCAAAAATTAGTGATAGATCCTGTTATCGCTTTACCAGTGCAACAACAAACAACTACAGCGGAAGCGTTACCAGCTGATGATCAACGTCACTCTATTGAACAGTTATTCAGTTATGTGAAGCTTTTTCTCTGTGCGAAACTTTCCAGTGATCTTTTG